TGGGGTAATTTAGCACGGCCAATCCACCCTAACCTGCACATCCCTGGGCACTATGGGGTAATTTGGCACGCCCAATCCTCCCTAACCTGCACATCTTTGGACTGTGGAGGAAAACGGAGCACTCTGAGGAAACACATGCAGACACAGGGAGAGTGTGCAAACTCCACACAGAGACAGTCATGCAAAGACAGAATCGAACCTGGGTCCCTGGTGCTGTGAGGCAGCAGTGCTAACCACTGAGCCACCAATCTTTTGTATCTCTGCCATAGGCAGCGGGTCTTCTTCTTTCCTTGAACATCCATCAGAAACAGACTTGCAATTGTCTTGTGATTTTTTTCATGACCTCCAGTCTCTCAAAGCTCTTAACAGCCATCGATGACCATTTTGAAGTGGATTCACCTTGTTATAACGTAGGAAACACAGAAAAGTCAAATTGCGTTCTGCAAACCTCCACAAACAGCAAAGTGATAATAATCGCACAAACTAATTCTGCGATCTAATTGAGGGATAAATATTAGCCAGGTCACCGGGGACACCTGCCCTGCCGTCCTACAAAACAGGGCCAGGGTTCTGAAATAACTCCACAGAGTCCAGTATCCTATCCCTAAGTCATCTTTTATTTATGTGCACACAGTGCATGTGCTCTGACCCAGCTAGATCAGAGCCAGACCTTAGAGAGAGGAGAATCTCTGAATGTCCTGTTTATATCTGTCAGCCAGGGCTTCCTGATTTGCCCAGGTTAATGGCCCCAATCAGGGATCTCATAATCAATGAGATCCACCTGTCCGTCCTTCCAATCACTACAGTTTCCAAGCGGGAAGATGGAGCGTTGGCTTTAAGTGAAGGCAGGACTCTGTCTGTACTGCCTGGAGTATCAGTTTTGAGTTTTATATCTTAACTCAGGAGTAGGAAGAATGGAAAGCTCTGAAAGGAAAAACATCCCTTAGTGTTAAGGGCTGGCTAACACTGTGTTAAACTCTGACCTCTAACCCCCAACATCCTGTTGGTCAACGAAAGGAGGTCACATCTGAGGGAACTGCATCAGTAAACTGAAGGTTTAACAGCAGCAGGATACAATAAAGTCAGATGGTATTTCTTATCGGCTGATAATTTTCTGATGTTGTATGGGATCCCAGAAACTTCTCAAGCTGCCAGCCTGGATTCTCCTTGACGAAGATGTCCGGTTATTCTTCCATCAAACGGCTGAGGATTCTGAACAGATACCCAGGTCACTTCGACGTTTGAGGCCAAGCACGAGGAAAATGTGAGTAACAGCGTTCACTGAAGATTCCATTGGCCCTCCCTTCCCTCGCTATTGTCAGAACACACACTGTTTTCCCAGTGCCACCAGGCTAAAGATCTCACATTCGCTGCGAGTTTGCCTTGAGACACTTTATTGAATGCTTTTTCAGAATTAATGCTCAGTTCGTTTGTTCCAGTTTATCACATATTATACAGCGCTATTTGACACTGAGACCAACATATTGGCCTCCATTGTCACCAAAAAGAAATGCCCCTAGTCTTTTACCTGTTGCTAATATATCAAGTAGTTAAGTGGGTGATTGGGGTTAGTTGATTTATTAATTGATTGGAAACATATGTTTACACCCGGGTGTCCATGGAGGAGCAGTACAAATCCTTGAAGCCTTTAGAAAGAAGTGGGTGCTGTAGGGGGCTAGGAGATTCTAGCATTTCCATCACCAACTCCGTTTTAATTTCACTCCCTTCCCTGCCTCACAGTGTTATTGCTGGTGGACAGGGCCTGCTAATTGTTCTTTCAATTGGTAAAATAGGCAACTTGGTGGAGGATTTTTGTTTTAAGAAATTACTGGGAAGATTTGTTTTCTTTTGGACATGGGTGGCAGAGGCAAGGCCAAAGTTTGATGCCCATTCCTAATTGCCCTTGAACTGAGTGGCTCATGAGGTCATTTCAGAGGGTGGTTAAGAGTCAACCACTTCGCTGTGGGCCTGGAGTCACACGTTGGCCAGACTGGGTAAGGATGGCAGATTTCCTTCCCTCAAGGACATAGGTGAACCCAGATGGGTATTTACAGTAATCAATGCTAATTTCATGGTTAATAACACCAAGACTAGCTTTCAGTTCCACATTTTATGATGCTGAATTCACTTTTATGAACTGAATTTAAGTTTCCCTACATGCGATGGCAGGATTTGAAGGCCAGAATGTTAACCTGGGCCTTTGGATCATTTGTCCAATGACATTACTGCTGTGTGATTAGTTGGGACTGGTTTGTGGAAGGAGCTGTAGGACTGAGTGGTATAAACATTTCTGCAGCCGTGCAGCCATGGGTGCAGCCGTGGTTAAAAAAAGATAAAGCAGACCCAGGGGTCCTCTTGTGGTGCAGAGTTAGTGTCCCTACCCCTCGACAAGGAGGTCTGGGTTCAAGTGCCACCTACTCCAGGTGTCTGTAATAACATCTTATGAACAGGTTGATTAGAAAAATATGTTAGAAAAACAAAAGCAGGTAGAGGTGGTCCCTCTTGCAGTACAGAAGTAGTGTCAGTACTTCTGGACCAGGAGGTTTGGATTCAAGTCCCCATTTGTTCCAGAGTTGTGTAATAACATCTCTAAACAAATTGATTAGGAAAAAATAGGTTAGGGGGGAAACAAAGCAGACTTATTGGTAGAGGGGGACACTCTTGTGGTGCAGAGGTGGTGTCCCTATCCATGGACCAAGACAACCAGGTTCAAGTCCCACCTGCTCCAGAGGTGTGTAATAACATCTCTGAACAAGTTGATTAAGGGAAAAAAAAAGTAAGACTGAGTGGTTAATAAACTCTAACCACAAAAATGCATTGGGGTTTTTCTGTCTCGCTGAACTGGCTTGGAACCAAATTGACAGCTGGTGTTGGTGGGAGCTTGTTGTGTGTGAATTGACATTAGCCAAATGACCACAGATCAAAGGTACTCCACTCAATGGAAATACAGAATATTCTGAGGCTGCAAAAAGTGCTGTTTAAATTTAAATTCTTTCTTCCTGTGTGGTAACAGGAGTCACCTGGCACCTGGGCCATTGGCAAAACCCATCAAATTCTTCTCCTAATGCTATTGAGTCTTTCATACCAAGGTGGTAATTTCAAATTAGTCAACTTTCCGCACACTGAGAAAAAAACAAATCTTTATATAATGCCTTTAAGGACCTCAGAACAATTCAATGATCTTTACAGTCTTTTTGAAGTGTTGTAGCAAGGAAAACGCATTAACAAAGTAGCACACAGCAAGATCCCACAATCATCAATGTAATAATGGCTGGGTAATTCGGTATTTGTGACTGGTTGAAGGACAAATATTGGCCAGGATGCTGGGATAACCTCCTTGCTCTTTTTCAAAACAGTGCAATGTAATCTTTTATCTTTGCCTCCAGCTGACTCGTCTTTTAAGAAGTCCCAACTGAAAGGCAGCGTCTCTGAGTGTGCGGCGCTCCCTCAGTACTTCACAGGGGGCGAGGGGAGAAGTGGGGGTTGGGGGGGGGGGGGGGGGGTGGTCAGCCTTAATTTTTGTGTTCAAGTCACGCTGGAGTCAGGATGAGAGTTAATCACAAACAAAGTCGGAGAATCTGAAAAAGCACTTTGTTTAAGCAGTGTGAAAAACAGCAAAGAAAACAAACGGATAATTCATAATGTGGAATAATTTGAGACATTTGCATCAAAGAAGCATTCATTATTGATGTCATTTTTCATCTCAGTTCAATCCTTCCTTTGTTTAGTAAATTGCACTTACTTTAATTATGTTATTACAATGCTAATAATCCTTAATTTGTTACTTAGCAAATCCCAAACAGAGAAGGAAGATTTAAGTGAAAAATCAGGAGCTCCCCAGGCAGAGGTAGGCTTGCTGAAAGATTTAAATTAATGCAACACATTACCTGGCCAAAGAATGTTAATTATTCCATCTTTAGGGTAAAATTAACTGTTTTGTTCCTCTGTCTCTTCCAGTTTTTACTCCTTCTCTTAGAGTCATAGAGGTCTACAGCATGGAAACAGGCTCTTCGGCCCATCTTGCCCATGCTGCCCAGTGGTCTTCTGACCAGTACTGGAGTTCAGCTCCAACATTAGTTCTTGGTTCAAGTCGTCAGCCTTCCAGGCCCACAGCAATGTGGTTGACTCTGAACTGCCCTCTGGGCAATCAGGGACGGGCAGTAAATGCTGGCCTAGTCAGCGATGCCCTCATCCTGTGAAAAAATTTTAAAAAAAGGTGATGATCCGCGGCTGGTTGACCACTGTGTGCATCACAGCAATTGTCAGCAAAGTGAAGTTAGCAGTCATGCACAGACGCATGTCTTGAACATATAGCTACACTTTTAGACACACACGCACACTAACTGAGAAGGTCAACGACAACACCAGGCTCCAGGGCATTCTGACTTGGGACTCTATCGCCATTCCTTCACAGTCGCTGGGGAAACATCCTGGAACTCCCTCCCTATCAGCACCCTGGGTGTCCCTACACCATGTGGACTGTAGCTATTTTATTCACCTCCAGGATATAGGCGTCACTGACTGGGCCAATATTTGTTGCCCTTCCCTGTTTGCCCTTCATAAGCGGGTGGTGAGCTGCCTATTTTGGTGTAGGCAAACCCACAATGCTATTAGGAAGGGAATTCCAAATTTTTTTGACGCAGCGATAGAGAAGGAATGGTGATATAGTTCCAAGACAGGGTGGTGAGGGGCTTGGTGGGGAACTTACAGGTTGGTGATGTTCCCATGTACCTGCTGCCCTTGTCCTTCCAGATGGTAGTGGTCATGGGTTTGGAAGATTAAGGTTAAGGAGCTTGCAAGAAGGCGATGGCCCAAGAAAGCAGTTCACTATTGGTGAATAAAGTGATGAATATGAAAGGGTTAATCTGAGCTAAGCTGTAGCTCTGCCAACTGCCAACACATAACAGAGCCACTGGTTAGAACATCAGGATACTTCTAGACAGTTCTGATTGGAGACAATCGTGTCTTCTATCCTCATTTTACCATTAGTACAATGTAACATGTATGTACTTGGGTAGCACGGTGGCTCAGGGGTTGGCACTGCTGCCTCACAGCGCCAGGGACCTGCGTTGATTCCAGCCTCAGGCATCAGTCTGTGTGTGGAGTTGGCACATTCTCCCCGTGTCTGCATGGGTTTCCACCAGGTGCTCCAGTTTCCTCCCACAGTCCAAAGGTGTGCAGGTTAGGGTGGATTGGCCATGGGAAATTGCCAATAGTATCCAGGGATGTGCAGGTTAGGGTGGATTGGTCATGCTAAATTGCCCATAGTATCCAGGGATGTGCAGGCTTAGAAGATTAGCTATGGGAGATGTGGGGTCATGGGATAGGGTGGGATTCTGTTCAGAGGATTGGCGCAGACTCGATGGGCTGAATGACCTCTTTCTGTATTGTTACAAATTTTATCTTGTCACCAAGCTAAGTGAGTCTGCTGAGAACGGTCTCCATAAGGGCATTGTGGGTCAACCCACAGCAGGTGGACTGCTACGGTTCAAGAAGACGGCTCACCACCACCTTTCTCAAGGGAAACTAGTGACAGGCAATAAATGATGGTTAGCCAGCGACACCCACATCCCATAAATGAATAAATAACCCCACAAAAGCCTAAAAATCTTCTCAACGAAGAGGATTGGTGACGGACCTCCGGGTCAACTCCAAATGGTTGGTACCCAGGCTTTCTCATTCGCGCTACAGTAACTGCCAACCTCTCAAGTGCACTTAGGGAAAAGCACAAATACTGCCCACATCATGTGAAAGGCCTTTTAAGGAATATCCCCCATGATTTTGGCTCCAGTTTCTGTCACTGCCACCTCATTGTTAGAAGCGTAGGATCCCTATAGTATGGAAGCAGGCCATTCAGCCCATCAAGTCCACACCAACACTCTGAAGAGCATCCTACCCCTACCCTGTATTTCCCATAGCTAACCCAACAACCTGCACACTACGGGCAATTTAACGTGGCCAATCCACCTAACTTCACATCTTCGGACTGTTGGAGGAAGCCAACACAGACACAGGGAGAATGTCTGCGTGGAGTTTGCACATTCTCCCCAGGGTGGAATCAAACCCGGGCCCCTGGCACTGTGAGGCAGCAGTGCTAACCACCGTGCTGCCCTTTTGTACCTGCCATGTTGAGATCGACAAACTGCCAGGAATGTTCATGGAAGCTGACTTCTCCCAACAATCTCCTCTGGAAGTAGGCACAAGAATCAGTTGGGGAGGCTCACGAAATCTGCTGCTTTCCGACCTTTATCAGGGTGTAAACAAGAGAAGGCAGTTGATGTGGGAACACTGAAGCACTTATTATTTAATGAGCTGCAAAATCGATAAACAAGAAAGATAAGGTCATAATGAAAAGTGGATTTTGATTGCATAGAAGAAATGCATCACATTAAACATCTGACTAATGCATTTTTAAATTATTAAATGTTTCTCAGAAGTTTCGATAATGCTTTGCTTTTTCAACGGTGCATGAGGAACTTGCAGATCGTCTGAAACAATTTGGAAAGTCAGCAAGCCTACTGTCTTCTAACACAATGCTGCATTGTACCCATCGGAAAATCCTAGTGTCTGCTTGGACTGGGCTCAGCTGTTCTCCATAGCTGTTGTGTGCTTGGCCAGTAATGGATGCACACGTGTAAACTCTCTTGCCAAATTGACGTTGTATAATGAAAGACGAGGTTAAAGGTCGATTGAACAGCCACTTGCCAAATGCTGAGACACTTGGAGTCCACCCCGTGCTGTTGAGGCACCTTCAGAGCATTTTTGAATTTGAGCTGCTTCTCACTTAAAGGGGCCCTGTCCATACCTTAAGCATCTTTGCAGGCACTGTGAGGCTCACTCAGAGATAGCAGGAACTGCAGATGCTGGAGTCAGAGACAACACAGCAGGCCAGGCAGCATTAAAGGAGCAAGAAAGTCGACGTTTCAGGTCAGGACCCTTCTTCAGAAAACGTCAACTTTCCTGCTCCTCTGATGCTGCCTGGCCTGCTGTGTTCCTCCAGCTCCACACTGTGTTATCTCTATTTATAACTGTGATGCTCAGACTGTGTCCAAAAGGCTGCAGCGAAAACTCAACTCCTTGCCTTTGGCTAACACTTTTCGTTTCGTCCTTATTGACAGCTGCACCCATCCATAGGCAGAAAGCCAGGCCAGCGCAGAGTTGGAAATCTCCAGCTGTTGGCTGTCCCTACGCATCCATGTATCTGCTCTTGAACCTACTTGAACCCCAACCTTGTCTGTTGCTTGCTTGAAAGCTCCCCAGGGCGGCTGGTTTTTGGACGTGACTGACTCTGTTGATCCATCTCAATGATTGAACAAGTGTAACAACTGCACATTTTATGGTGGAGAGGCACTTGGCAGAGGCAGAGCCAGGCAAAATGCAGAAGGGGGTATTTCGAAGGCTAATCAAAACCTCAGCATTAAAGAAGGAATGTATATTCTGTTTTGGGATCCTCTGTAATAGATGCTACCATTTTCCCAGTTGGAGTACTGTGTACATTTCTGGTCCTGCTGCTATAGGAAGTATATTATTAAATTGGAAAGGGTTCAGAAAAGGTTTACCAAGATGTTGCCAGGATTAGAAGGTTTGAGTTATGAGGAGAGGCAGATAGTCTGGGACATTTTTCACTGGAGTATAGGAGGTTGAAACCTTATAGAGGTTTATAAAATTCATAGAATCCCTACAGTGTGGAAACAGGCCCTTTGGCCCAACAAGTCCACACTGACCCTCAGAGCATCCCACCCAGACTCATCCCCCTATAATCTGCCTAATCTACACATCCCTGAACACTACAGGCAATTTAGAATGGCCAATCCACCTAGCCTGCACATCTTTGGACTGTGGGAGGAAACTGGAGCACCCAGAGGAAACCCACGCAGACACGGGGAGAATGTGCAGTTGCCCAAGGGTGGAATTGAACCTGAGTTCCTGGTGCTGTGAGGCAGCAGTGCTAACCAGCAAGCTACTGTGTCACCCATAAAATGTAAGGTTATAGACAAGGTGAACAGCAAAGGTCTTTTCCCAAGTGTGAGGGAGTTCAAAACTAGCAGGCACGTTTTCAAAGTGAGTGGAGAGAGATTTAAAAATGATGTGTGGGCCAACTTTTTCACACAGAGAGTGGTTCGTGTGTGGAATTAACTGCCGGGGAAGTAGTAGATGCAGGTACAGTTACAACATTTAAAAGACATTTTGATAAATACATGAATAGGAGAAGGTTTAAAGGGCTATGGGTCAAACGCAGGCAAGTGGGACTAGTTTAGTTTGGGAAACTTGGTTGACATGGATGAGTTGGACTGAAGGGTCTGTTTCTGTGCTGCATGACTGTATAAGTCGAAAAAGCATGGGCTTAGGAAGGGAACTTCATTCAGTTGGTGGAGTCTAATTGAAGGCATGGGTGGAGCAAAAGAAGACACACACAGTGAGAAAAAATGGACAGTTTTTTAGTTGTAGAACTGGAATAGATTGCAGACATTCAAAGAGCTAATCCCATCCATTTATCTGTGATCGTTGCACCTCAATTGTCCACCTGTAATTCTCCTAATGCTAGTTCTGTGTATTCATATCACATGTTGGTTTAAGGTGCTGATGTCTCTTTTGCTCACTCTCCCCTGCCCCACCCCCCTACCCAGGCTCTGTACGATTTTACTGGTGACAATGACCTGGAATTGACATTCAAAACTGGTGACATTATCTACCTTTTGAAAAGGGTCAACGATGACTGGCTGGAGGTAAGTGGAGATGAACTACGCCGTGCCTACTTTGTGGGATATTGTGTTATGTTCTTACATCCATTAATGTGGGATGATATTAAATTTGACAATTTCCAAGTGCATATCTTTAACTAAATAAATTTAGAAATAAATATTAACTTTGTAAAGACAGTTTGATATATCCTTGCAAAGTAGGTATTTGTGGGCCAGTGCTTCCACACTTTTCCCACAGTAAACCCAGTTTGAAGCTTGAAAATTGTCAAGACCCTTTTAGTGAGAAGTAGAGAATGTATAAGAACAGAGGAACAGGAGTAGGCAATTCAGCCCCTCGAGCCTGTTGCACCATTCAGTGAGATGGTAGTTGATCTGAGCGTAACTCCTTATACCTGCCTTTGGCTCAGATCCCCTAATACCTTTGCTTAATAACATGTATCTATCTCAGATTTAAATTAACAAATGATCAGCATACCACTTTGGGAAGAGAGTTCCAAACCTCTACCACCCTCTGTGTGTAGAAGTGCTTCCTAACATCTCTCCTGAAGGGTCTGGCCCTCATTCTCAGATTATGCCCCCTTGTTGTAGAATCCCCAACCAGTGGAAATAATTTATCTTTAACTACCCTGTCTTTTGTTAATATCTTCAATCAGATCACCCCAAAGCCTTCTAAATTCTAGAGAAAGCAGGACGAATTTTTATGATTTCTTTTCATAACTTAACCCTGATGTGCAGGTATCATTCTTGTAAACCCAAGTTGTCCTTCCTCCAAAGCCAACATATCCCTCGTAAGGTGAGGCTAGGTGGATTAGCCATGGGAAATGCAGGGTTACAAGGGTGGGTCTGGCTGGATGCTCTTCAGAGGGTCAGCTAGACACAATGGGCTGAACAGCCTCCTTCTACACTGTAGGGATTCTATAATTCTTCTACGATTTCTGCATTTGACAAAACAGCAACACTCACTTCAATATGCATGTTGTAGTCCATAGCTATGAATTGTGATATTAAAAGGTTTTATTGTTCTTCCCCATCACCTGACCGTGACTCTTAACTTGCTCTTGTTCCTTGCCATTGGCATGTGTTGGAAGGATTTACAAGGTGATACTCATTTGGCCTTGTAACAAACACATCTCTCGTGGCCATTAAGCCCTGGAGTGGAACTTGAACCCAGAGCTTCTAGCTCAGAGACAGGGATGCTACCCCATTGTGCCACAAGAGCATCTGTCAGTAGGAATAATGCCCTCGTGATCAGATTTCATACAATCCCTGCACTGTGGAAGCAGGCCATTCGGCCCATCGAGTGCACACCAACCATCTGAAGACTATCCCGTTCAGACATCCCTAAGCTGTAACCCTGCATTTCGCATGGCTAATCCACCTAGCCTGCACATCCCTGGACACTATGGGCAATTTAGCACGGACAATCCACCCTAACCTGCACATCTTTGGACTGTGGGAAGAAACTGGAGCACCCAGAGGAAACCCACGGGGAGAACATGCAAATTACATACACACACACACACATACATACACACATAAACACACTTTCTTTCTTCCACATACACACTGTCTCTCCCACACATGCACAGACGCAAACATGCGCATGCACACGTGCACACACACACATACACACACACACACATACACACAGACACACACAAACACACACACACACAAATACACATACACTCACATACACACACGCGCGCACGCACACGCACACACACACATGCACACAGAGTCCCTAACGCTGCGAGGCAGCAGTGCTAACCACTGAGCCTCCGTGCTGCCCTAATTTCCCTGGTTTTTGTGTAGATAGAATGCTCTTTGTGACTGGTGTGTGTTTCTCAGGCATAGATTTTCAGGGTTGCTTGCACAACTGTGTTGGTTCTTGGCTGCTTTCCTCTGTGTGGAACAGTGAAAGGTTAGCTCCGACCAGAAGTTCTTGGGTTCAACTTCAGGTCAATAAGCTCCAAGTGCACAATAGACTGGGAGCCCAGCAGAAAGGGGAGACATCAAATTGCATCTCAGCAGTGTTTATGAGCAATATTATCAGAGGGTTGGCAGCGAGAAACTGCATCAACCTCTACATGATGTTTTTGTCAGCACTGTTTGTACTCAAATAGCAAAAGAAGGAGCGACTTGCATTGAGAAAACCCCACCTTTCATAAGCATCAGATGCCCCAAGAGCTGTACAACCTACTAATCACTTTTGAAGTCATTGTTATAGTGTATTAACTGCATTAGCCAGTTTAGAAGTTACACAAAACCAGGTCATAGTCCAACAGGTTTATTTGTAATCACAAGCTTTCGAAGCGCTGCTCCTTCGGCAGACAAGGACGAAGGGACAGTACTCCGAATGGTTGTGATTTCAAATAAACCTGTTGGACTATGACCTGGTGTTGTGTAACTTCTAAATCTGTCCACCCCAATCCAACACTGGCACCTCCACATCAACCAATTTATGTACAACAAACTCCAACAAACAGCAATGTGATAATGACCAGGTTATCTGGACTTTTTTCTACTTAAGTGATTGGTAGAGAGATAAATATTGATCAGGAGAGTCACTGAGAGGAATCTCCTGTTGCTCTTCAAACGGTATCTTGAGACTTTTGGGACATTTTACATTCATTGTCGGGGACAGCACACTATTGTTAATGCTGGATAGGTTGGGAGTTCTTTCACTGGAGCATAGGACGTTAAGGGGTGACCTTATAAAGGTTTATAAAATCATGAGGGGTACAGAGAAACTGAATGGCACGTGTCTTTTCCCTAGGGTTGGGGATTTCAAGACTAGGGGGCATATTTTTAAGGTGAGAGGAGAAAGATTTAAAAAAGACATGAGGCGGATTTTTCTTTACACACAGGGTGGTTCGAGTGTGGGATGAACTTCCAGAGGGAGTGGTGGATGTGGGATGCAACGTTTAAAAGACTTTTGGATAAGGACATGAATAAGAAATGTTTGGAGGGTATCAGCCTGGAGCAGGTGGGACTAGTTTACTTTGGGATTATGGTCAGCATGGACTAGTTGGACTGAAGGGTCTGTTTCCCTGCTGTAAGACTCCAGGACTCATCTGAAAGATGGATTAGAAGTGAAGATCTGGTATAAGTAATTTCTGTATTCCTCTAACATTTAAAGTCAGAGTTGTCAGAAAGCAATATGGCAGGGATGAAACTCTCTTAAATACATGGCATCTATCCCTTAAGGTGCAGAGTTGAACCATGAACATTAGTAAAGGGTTTTCAGTGCTAATTAAAGAAAAGCAGACTTCAGAAATCAGAATGTTACCTTTCATTCATATTTGACAAAGATGCAATACCTATGGGGTGTACAAATTGATGGATCTAACTGGATCGTTTCTAAATAAATTATGTTATTGCGGGACAGAAATTTTGACACTTGCTGAGTGCTGGAGAAGTTGTACATTCTGATGGCACGGTGGCTCAGTGGTTAGCCCTGCTGCCTCACAGCACCAGGGACATGGGTTCGATTCCAGCCTCAGGCGACTGTCTGTGTGGAGTTTGCACGTTCTCCCCATGTCTGCGTGGGTTTGCTCCAGTTTCCTCCCACAGACCAAAGATGGACTGGCCATACTAAGTTGCTAATGGTTGTGTAGGCTAGGTGGATTAGCCATGGGAAGTAGGGGGATGGGACTGGGTGGGATGCTCTTTGGAGGGATAGTATAGACACAATGAGCTGAAAGACCTTCTGCAGGGTTCTACCTTCTGCAGTTGTGTGATATTTTCTACATTTCCTTTGTTAGTCACCTGCCACTTGGGTGTACGGTAAAAAGGAAACAATAAAACCTCACAGGCAGAAGAAATGGAGGATGTTGTAGCATTAAGTTATTCTGGCTTTGATTACATGAGTCTGGTAACTGATCTATCCTACCTGTGCTTGATTAGTTAAGCCTGGATATGGACTCAGAGAAAAGTAAAAGAATTGTGGAAGTTCCTGGAAAGAGCTGGAAGCCAGACCTGAAGCATGGAGTAGACATTTTAAAGCACTTTACAGAGAATGTATCATGCACGTAGAAACTAGTGTCATCTCTGTATTTTTTTTTCTTTAGTCATTCATGGAATGAGGGTGTCGCTGACCAGACAGATTTATTGTCATCCCTAATTGCCCAGAGGGCAGTTAGGAGTCAACCACATTGCTGTGGGTCTGGAGTCACATGTAGGCCAGACCAGGTAAGGATGGCAGTTTCCATCCCTAAAGGACATCAGTGAACCAGATGGGTTTTTCCGACAATCAGCAATGGATTCACGGTCATCATTAGGTTCCTAATTCCAGATATTTATTGAATTCAAATTCCACCATCTCCCATGGCAGGATTCGAACCCGGGCCTCCAGAACATTATCTGGGTCTCTGGATTAACAGTCCAGCGATGATATCCCTGATATACGTTAGATATACTCAAGCCAAGCCCAATACCCCAGAGATCAAAAGGAAAAGCAAAGTGGATGGTGCAAAAGATAAGAAATTTACACCAACAACCTGCATTTATATAGCACGTTTAATGTAGCAAAATGGCTCAACACATGTTATGGAGCACAGTTTGACACTCAGCCTCATAGGCAGGTGATCAAAAGCTTCGCCAAAGAGGTAGGTTATAAGGAGTGTCTTAAAGGAGGGAAGTGAAAGAGAGAGGTTTAGGGAGGGAATTCTAGAGTTGAGGCACTCAACAGCTTAAGGCGAGGCTGCAACTGATTACAAGTATCCAGCAGGAAAAAGCAGTAGAACTTGTGAATGAGATCTCCTGCTCTAACTCATCCTGTCTACTAGAGGATGGAACTCCAGTATGACAAGTACATTCATTTCCCAGTATTACTGGTCTTCCCTCTGGGCAGTGATAGACAAGAGGCCAGAATTAGAGAAGCACAGAGGCGTACATGGCCAGAAGAGATAAGAGAGATCCAGAGGGTCAAGGCCATAGGGGGATTTGAAAACAAGGATAAGAATTTTTAAGTCTGAGGCGAAGGCTTTGTATTCAGCAAAAAATGAAAATAAATGGGCTGTTTGCTCGAATATGGCAAGTCCCAGTTGTAGGAAGTTTATGTCAATGGTCTGGGAACTAGTGTATTTCCGCGAACACAGGGATAATGAGTGAGCTGGACTGTGTGAATTCAGAAAAGGACAGCAGAGTTTTGATGACCCCAAATCTTGCTCTGTTTACTTTCAGTGTTAATCCCATTGAGAAACTATACAGCAGGTCCCTGACTTACAAACGTCCAATGTACGAAAGCTCATACTTACAGACATAACACCATACGGGGAGTAACTTTAAAGAACCCACATACAACTGTTTCCTGTACTTACAAACAGCGACTCCAGATTGTCCTACAAAAACAGAAAGTGCTGGAAGAACTCAGCAGGTCTGGCAGCATCTGTGGAGAGAAATCAGAGTTAACATTTCGGGTCCGGTGACCCTTCCTTTTCCAGCAGTTTCTGTTTTTGTTTCTGATTTACAACATCCGCAGTTCTTTCAGTGTTTATTTTGTATTGTACTACCTTGTGTCCTGACCTGCACTCAAATCGACTTGCAACCAGACTCCAGAATGGAACCCGATCACAACATGGGGAAATCGTCTGTATCTGTAACAGAAGAGGGTCATTGCCCTATCCTTCTTTAATAATTCCTCACTAACTCTTTACTTTCTTCAGTCGGCTCTGGTTTTCCATTGCTCCAACATCTTGTCCTTCAATTACCTTGGAAATCCCCACTTGTTTCAAAAGATTACAAAGGTATAGTTTGACAAGCTGGCTGTATTTGACTGTGGCCAGATGTTGCTCAGCTGTATTGAAAGAATGTGGCCAACAGATGTGTTCCAGTGTAAAATCTGACTCTGACAGGCGAAGGCTTTGTATTCAGCAAAGAACGAAAATAAATGGGCTGTTTGCTCGAATATGGCAAGTCCCAGTTGTAGGAAGTTTATTGCAAAGCGAAAGTCTGCCCAACTATATTACAGAAATAACAAGCAATCTACCAAACCACAAAATGATCTCCTTCCACTGTTTTTAGGTGAGGAGAGTGCCCAGCAAGCAGTTGAATACGCGCAGGAGTAGGCCATCTGGCCCATCGAGCTTGCTCTGCCATTCTATAAGATCATGGCTGATCTTTTTGTGGACTCACCATAACCCTTAATTCCTTTATTGTTCAAAAATCTTTGGCTTAAAAACATTCAATGAGGGAGCCTCAACTGCTTCACCGGGCAGGGAATTCCACAGTTTCACAACCCTTTGGGTGAAGAATTTCTTCCTCAACTCAGCCCTAAATCTGCTCCCCCTAATTTTGTGGCTATGCCCCTAGTTCTAGTTTCATCCGCCAGTGGAAACAACCTCCCTGCTTCTGTCTTACCTATTCCCTTCATAATTTTTAATGTTTCTATAACATACCCCTCATTCTTCTAAATTCCAATGGGTATAGACCCAGTCTACTCAATCTCTCCTCATTAGCCAACCCTGTCAACTCCAGAGTAACAGGAAGCAGAAGGGAATGATATTAAGCAAATTTGATTTATACGCTCAAGAAGTCAGCCTTATTTTCGAGTGTACCCCAAACTACTTTCCAGTGGAAATTTTCCATTTCAGCACATGGGAATGAACACAACCCCCAGATACCAATGAAAGAAAAACATCAATCAAGTCACATTCAGTATATAATTCTGAAAATGTGCCTATTTACATCAATATCAAACACATTGTGTAAATATGGCAATATGCTGTTTGTGAAAGTGTTCATCAGCCCATTGTTTCATCTGTAACATCTCCAACTCTTCGACCAGGTAGAGGTGGTTGGGTCTTGAGGTGATTCTTGTTAGAGGTTGTTCCACAGTGTCTGGGTGACAGGGTCAGGCTCAGAAAGACTGCAGAGGAGCAGTGAAGGAAAAAAAATGGTTCGGTTAGTTGATTCTGAGTGGTTGAGGCATTAATGTGGAGGCTGAGCCAGGGAGCTACCATCCCCCACATTTTTGTTTAATTCACAAAAGCCACAATGCCTGGAGTTGTTCCTTTTTTCTACAGAGCAGAGGCCACTGTCTGTGAAGCAAGCTTAAAGGAGCCTCATTGTGAGTTTGGATTCCCCACGCCAATGCCTTAACCAATCAAAGTCGACTTGCTGACACTCAGTGCCCTTTTCTCATCTGGTATAAATTGTTGCTGCCTTTCAGATTTGACATTCTTGCAATGTTGTTTTGATGAATGCAAGATGAAAAATTTTGTCTTTTTTCAGCAGTACTCGAGTTCTGTACAATGCAAAGACAACGTATATTTTCTTTCTCCCAAGAACGTTAAATCATAAGAAATAAGGGCAGAGGCAGACCACTTGGCCCTTTCAACATGCTGTATCACTCAATAGGATCGTGATCAAACCACCTCAACTTGGTCTTCCTATATTTCATAATTCCCTAATCCTTGGGAGGAGAGGGTCATGTTGATGTAATGTCACTAGGCCAGTAATCCAGAAACACACTGCAGCCATGGGTTCAAATCCAATTGAATCCAAATTCATTTCAGATCTTTGGAATATAAAGATAATTTTCAGTAATGCTAACCATAACAGCTGGTGTAAAAGCCCATCTGGTTCACTAACACCCTTTATAGAGGGAAGTCTGTCACCCTTACCCAGTCTGGCCCAGCAATGTGCTTGACTCACAAACTGACCTCAGCAATGGACTAGCCATGATGGTTAGGAATGGGCAGCAATTGCTGGTCCTGTCACCGATACCCACATCCTGCAAAAGAATAAAGGGGAAAAAAAATTCTCTTAGATCCCACGAATCTATGGATCTTTGTTTTGAGTACACTTAAAGATTGAGCATTGACAGCTCTGCGGCTTAGAGCATTCCAAAATTTCATGACCCCGCATATTTAAAAATATCTCCATATGTCAATCCAAAATAGCTAACCCCTTGTTTTGATGTTGATGCTGAGGTTATGAACACCTCAACATTTTGTTCTTCGTCTGCTTTTCTTCATTCCTTTTTTCTTTAGCTCCTTCTTCTTCTTTTCCTCACTTCCATTCTGAAATCCTTTTTGTATTACAGCTGTTCTCTTTGTTTGCCTCTCTGATCATTATTGTGTTTTTCTCCCATCTACACTCTCAAATTAGGGCATGCTGAATAACTGTACTGGGATTTTCCCCCAGTCTTTTGTGAGGATCATTAAAGATTTATCAGAAGGAACTGACTCGAAGAAACGACTCACAGATGCTCACAGGTTCCGATGCGTCTACCATGATATCCAGTGCTCTAAGATCAGGTATGTGGTTACCCAGGCTAATTTTGGTACATGAAAAATAAAACAACAGGTAGAAGATATTTAATTCAGTAAAATGTCTCAAACAGCATTGACAAGCAACTCGTGTAATATAAAGTCATAGGCCTAGTATGGGGTAGCGATGGCCTGGTGGTATTATCGCTAGACTGTTAATCCAGAGACCCAGATATTGTTCTGGGGACCCAGGTTTGAATCCCGCCATGGCAGATGGTGGAATTTGAGTTCAATAAATTATCTGGAATTAAGAATCTAATGATGACCATGAATCCATTGACGATTGTCAGGAAAAACCCATCTAGTTCACTAATGCCCTTTAGGGAAGGAAACTGCCATCCTGGTCTGGCCTACATGTGAATCCAGAACCACAGCAATGTGGCTGACTCATATCTGCCCTCTGGGGTGATTAGGAATGAGCAATAAATGCTGCCTTAGCCAGTGACGCCTTCATCCCGTTAATGAATAAAGGAAAAAAAACCTGGATGTTTACTCCCAATATGATTAGCTTGTGTTGGAAATTCTATGGTTTGTCTAGCTCCTCCATCTTCAACACCCCAAAAATAGATCCCCCCCCCCCCAAATTGCTCACTTTGTGCTCTGAGGCACAGATATGGAATGGGGATGGATCCAATACTCCCAGAAATATATTGAAGGCAGCCACAGTTGAGAGCATGAAAAGATCTGCTTTCATTCTTTGGAGTTGCATTAAAGGCTATTAGCTTCTGTAGCCCTCATCCCTCATACTCACACCCATTCCTTATGGTCCCCTTTCACCGCCACACTACATCAGTGCCAACCCATGCTCTCCAATGAGCCCTCAGACCCTCTGTGCCAATCCATACCCGTTTACCCAGTATAGAACTTGTACAGACACAATGAACCCTAAAATAACAATGAACATCTTTGGAAAAAGGCAGCTGCTCCTATAATCCTATAAAACTGTTCATTAAACAGCTGGGAAGGCGATGGCCTATTGGTATTATCACTGAACTGTTAATCCAGAGACTCAGGTAATGTTCTGGGAACCGGGTTTGAAACCTGACAATGGTAATTGGTGGAATTTGAATTTTAAAAAAAAATCTGGAGTCAAAAATCCATCGATGACCATCAAACTATTGTGGATTATTGGAAAAACTTGTTTGGTTCACTGATGTCCTTCAGGTAGTGAAACTTCCAACTGGACCACATGTGACTCCAGACCCACAACAATATGGTTAACTCTTCACTGTCTCCTAGGCAATTGGGGATGGGCAATAAATGCTGGCCTAGTCAGCTCATTCTGTAAATGAATAAAAAGAAAACTGACCACAAAGTTTCAATAACTGCAGCATTAACCAGTTCACACCTCTTAATGTGTGTAAATAAATATTGAGACATTGATAAAAGTGATCACAGAGAAAATAAGTTATTGTAAAGGTGTCAATTCAAAGTCAATAGTTCTCTCCAGCATTCCACACAAATTCCCATTCAGAAAATAGAGATAACACAATGAGGAGCTGGATGAACACAGCAGGCCAGGCAGCATCAGAGGAGAAGGAAAGCTGACG